AAAGGTCAAAGAAAACATTGTTTTAAGGACTCAGAGGAAGAACAAAGCCTCAGAAATCAATTTACTACAGAAATGAAAACAAGCCTAGGAAACTGGCATTCCCATTATGATACGACATAACTTCTATGAGAAAGTAGTAAAAAGCCATGAGAAGACAACAGGCTGAGACAGTGTAACAGAGTAAGACCAAAAGACAACAAAGTAACAAGATAAAAAATAGGAGGAAGGATTGCAAGATACTGTTACAGTAACAACTTAAATCTGTAATGTAATTACTAAAAAACAAAATGTCTCTATAGAAAATCAGTGTTACAGAGTATAAATAAAACATGAAAAGGCAAGGAGCGCCTGCGTGGCTCAGTCGGTTGGGCATCTGCCTTCAGCTCAGGTCATGACCCCGGAGTCCTGGGATGGAGCCCCGTATTGGGCTCCCTGCTCAGCAGGGAGTCTGCTTCTCCCTCTCCCTCTGCCTCTCCCACTGCTCCTGCTCTCTCACTCACTCACTCTCTCAAATAAATAAAAATCTTAAAAAAGAAAGAAAATTAAAGAAAAGAAAAGGCAAGCCATACAGACTGGGAGAACATATTTGCAATACACACATCTGACAAAGGGCTTGTATCTAGAGTCTATAAAGTAGTCCTACAATCCAATAATAAAACAACCTAAAAACCCACATTAAGTAAATGAGTAAGTGACTTGAAGAGATGTTTTTTAAAGGAAGATATAAGAATGTACAGTAAGTACATGAAAAGTTGCTCACCATCACTAGTCATCAGAGAAATGCAAACTAAAACCACAAGGAGACAGTATTTTACACCCAGCTGGAGGGCTGAAATTAAAAGGACTGACAACACCAAGTGTTTGCAAGGATGCACAGCAGCTAGACTCTCCTACATTGCTAGTGGAATATAAAATGATTCAGTCCCTTTGAAACTAGTTTGGCAGATACTTACAAAGCTAAAATATACATATATGATCCAGCAATTGCACTGTTGGGTTTTTACCCAAGAGAAATGAAAATCTATATCCACAAAAAGGCTTATACATGAATATCCACAGCATATTTTTTTGTGATGGCCAAAAACAATTCAAATGTCTCTCAGGAGGTGAGCAAATTTAAAAAAACAAACAAAACAAAACAAAACAAAAACTGCAGTTTACTCATATAATTGGTGACTATTCATCAATTTCTTTATTAAAAAAAAAATTTAAGTAAACTCTACCCCAACATGGGGCTTACACTTAAAACCCTGAAATCAGAGTCACATGCTGAGCCAGCTAGATGCCCCCATCAATTTCTTTAAAAGAGAATAAACTATTGCCACCTATAACAATATGGATGCATGTCACAAACATGTAGAGCCAAAGAAGGCTGACACAAAAAAGTACACACAGAATAACTCCATTTATATGAATCCACAGGAGAGGTAAAAGTAGACTACAGATACAGAATTCAGATCAGTGGTTGACTAATATGGGGTTAGGGGACAGATGGCAGAGGCACAGGGAATTTCCAGGGTACCAAACATAGTCTACATCTTCATTGGGATGCTGATTAATTACATACGTGTATATATTTGTCAAACCTCATGAGCAAGACTTAAACTGTGTGCATTTTATTATATGTAAGTTATACTTCAATAAAGTTGATTTTTAAAAAATGGTACCCACAACTAGCTATGTTCTAGGAAGTTTTGAATTACATAATTAAAAAAAATTCTACGAGTCTCTAGGCAGGAAAATCAGACTACTTTCAGAGAATAAAAAAAAAAAAATACCAGATTTCTCCTCAGAAATTCTAAGGGATGATAATGAAAATGTTTACAGTCAATTTAAGAGGGAAAAAAAGTCTTAAGAATTTTATACCTAGCCAAGGATTGTTCATAACTGAATATAACAAAAAACCAACCTAAATATGGGAGGGCTCAGAAAATATACCACATATCCACCCTTCCAGAAAAAAAATACTGGGGCACCTTGATGGCTCAGTCGGTTGAGGGTCTAACTCTTGATATTGGCTCAGGTCATGATCTCAGACTTGTGAGATCAAACCCCATGCTGGGCTCCATGCTGGGCATGGAGGCTACTTGGAATTCTCTCTCCCCCTTTCCCTCTGCCCCTTCCCCCCCTAAAAATACATATATATAAAATAATATATATATATATATATAAGCCATTTCCCAGCTGAGAGATGATTCAAACTTAAGGGCTCAAAAATAAAGAAAGTCTAAATACTTACTACAAATATGTTTTGAAACTGAACAAAAATATAAAACAGGAATTGTAATTCCTAGAAGAGAAGATATAAGACAAAAACAAAGTATAAAGATAATATCAGTCCCAAGCTACAAACTGTATTAATTAAAACTGGGGAATGTGAGTGAGGGAAGATGAGAGAAGTAAATGCCCATTAAGTTTATTATTTGATTTAGACCCAAGTCAAGAGCTATCAGTTAACTAAATTGTGAAACAGCCATTTATGGAATACTCTGTAGTCATAAAAATAATGAGGAAGCTCTTTATTATGTTCAGATATGAAATTAGCTATAAGATAAATTTATTCTAAAGGAGAAAGCAAAATACAAAAACAGTGTGTATAGCATGCTATGATTTGTGCAACAAAAAAGGAAAAACTATACTATACACAAAAGAAATTGGTCACCTTGATTGCCTTAGGGGGCAGTTCCTGAGTAGCTGGAAATTAGGAGCAAAAAGAAGACTTTCTTGCAATTTTCTTGTCCTTTGCTCATTTGTAAAGAAGCCATGTATTTGTGACCCATTTTTTAAAAACATTTTTAAATGTATTATTTGTTTTGTTTTGTCTTGACTTGGAGAATCAAGTTAACACTCACTGAAGACTCCAGTACATGAATAAATCTAGTTTCTAATAAAGGAGAAATCACAAATCAAAAGAGTATGCTTATCATGATGAGCGCTGAGTAATGTATAGAATTGCCGAATCACTAGATTGTACACCTGAAACTAATGTAACAGTGTATGCTAACCATACTGGAATTAAAATAAAAAACTTAATTTAAAAAAAGGAGATTTTACAAGTTAGCAAAGATCTAATAAATGATCTCGGAGCAAATGGTTTCCTATTTGGGAAAAAAAAAAGTTTAGTTCTCATTTCACAACCCTGACCAAATAAACTGCCAAGAGATTAGAGAGTTATATTACAAAAATTAAACTGAAACTTAAAAATATTAGAACAAAACAGGTGAATCTCAGAACAGCAAAAAACTTTCTAAGAGAAACTTGACAGGTTTCACTACATAAAAATTAAAATCTCCTATAAATCAAAAACATTATATGAAATTAAAAGGCATACTATAAACTGGGTACAATACTTTTCACAAACATCATAAGAGATTAATATCTTTATTTTATTTTATTCTTTTATGTAGGAAACTAGGTTACAGATTTACTTAATGTTAAGTCTGTGACAAGAGGAGCCCCCAGAAGGAAACGAAGACCAGAAGAAACCATTTGCCAGTGCACTTTTCTGCTGCCTTTGATGAAGAGTGGACAGTCAACTCAGGAACAGCGAGAGGGAAGAGATGCATAGGAGAAGGTATGTGGGGAGGTGCTCGGAGCTTCCATGCTTTCTTCCAGCATCTTCACATTTAGCACCCTGGAAGCTCCAATATCTTTATTTTTTTTAAGAGCCATTCAAATTAAAAGATGAAACAAACTTTTGAAAGCCTCACTAAGGCCTCAGAATAAAAATGGGCAAAAGAAGTAAAGAGTTAATGACAATGGTTAAGAAACGTCGGAGGACAAGTGGAACTTCATTGATAATTGAAATAATCCAATTAAAGAGAGACCTTCTCTTGCTGAACAGACAGGTGATGCTCTCGGTAACTGGGACCCTCATAGCTACTCATGGGAGTGTAAATTGGTACCTTTCTGGAAAAGAACTTGAAAAATGTACAAACATGTTCAAAACCTTTGACTCAATAATTCTCATTTTATACAAACTATCTCCTCAGGAGTTCAATACAATATAATAAGAAAAAAAAAAAACCCTGGAAACAATAAAAATGTCTAATAATATGGAAACATTACATAAAATCTGATATGCCCATACAAGAAAATTATTATGCAGACAATAAAATCATATTTTTGAAAAATACATAGTGACCTGGAAAACATTCAAGATCTATTCAAGTGAAATAAGTGGAATATAAAACTGTTATATGCTAGGATGACCGTTTTGAAATGATAACATGTAGTATACATACAGATTTTAAATAATGGAGGGAAATGAAGCAAAATGTTAGCAACCATTTTCTCTAAAATTATTTTTTATTACTTTTGCTTTTCTATAAATGTTAAAAGAGTTTCTATAATAAGTACATGGGAGGAGACACAATATTTTAAATGAAGAAATAACACAATTAGAAAAATTTTACCTGGAGTTAACACGCTCTGGATCTCGACTGAAAAAGTTAATTATTGCAATAAGCAAGTGATTCGCAGACAAAACCTTGATGCATTAGCACTTGCCTTCCATCTTTCTTACACACCTTTGGTTCAGAGCCAAATGGGCAAACAGTGTGCAGAACAGATGCCTTAGCAGGACAACTCCAGGGGGCCAGCCAACAGGAAGGAACTCTATTGCCTGGGATAATGAATAACCTTACTGAACTACAGACAAGTTAACTGTAATGAATGGTGTTTCCATGACACACTTGCCTGCCCAAAAGTCTTCAACCAGGACCACCCACTTAAGGCCCACAAACCACCAGGTGAAAGCAACTCCCAAAATAATCTAGGAATTGATAACTCTGGCATGAAGAGCCCCCCATCCCATGTCCCGACTCCCAAGTGCCCCTCCCCATCCCCTGCTATTTTCTCTGGCAAAATGTTTTTAGTATGTTCATTCCAACCCAACTCATAAAGGAGCTCTTTAAAGTTGAGAAAAACATTGCGTACTGGATCCCTGGGTCCAGCATGTGTGCACTACAGAAAGAAGCACAGGAACACATGTACAGTACCTTCCCGAAGCTGTGTTGGCTTGGCAGAATTTTCCCCACTCATTAAAACAACAAAAGATGCAGCTGCTCGAACTGTAGCCTGCCATGTTGACATGGCAACGGGTGGCTCCTGGCATGGAAAAAGGGCCCTGTTGTTTATGGGAGATCCCATAGTATAAACACATGGCCTGCATAAGAAAGACAAAGAAACAAAAGGGGGGAATCTTTAAATGAGTTGTCACTTTTCTCACCACCATGGTAGTGAAGGTTAAGTTGAGCTTTCACAGAGAAAACATTTGAGGCTTTGTAGTTGACTGGTTTCAAAGCATTTTGAACCGAAACTGCCAAGGGCTGGCTATGTGAATAGTCGAGTAGTAATTTCTCCCAAATGAATTACTTAAATATGTAAAGAGAGGTTTTTTTTTTAAAGGGAAAAATATTTTTTTGGATAAAGCTTTAAATACTAGTCTGCCAATTTAAAATTTATACTACCCTTGCCCCTCCCCTTAGGCTCTTACACCTTCAAAAGAAAAGAAGTTTGAGAGACATTCTTACAAACCTTTTGGAAAACATTCTGGAAAAGAAAATATGTTTGGAGATATATTAATGCTTGGAAAAACAAGCTGGTGGTCTCAAATCCAGTTGCTGGCGGACAAATACCCCCAATCCTGGAAACTACCATCTCAAATGGAACCCTTGTGGGAAACCTTGTGTTCTTGGAGGCCAAGAACAGGGGTTGGGCATATAAACAGGACTGTAGGTCACAACAACCGGGCTTGTGATGGGAAGGCCAAGTGTAGAGTCATTACAAACCGAGTGTAGGAAACCAAATGGTATGACGTTAGGGCTCGTTCTGCTACAATTAAAAATTACAAACCCACCCATACCGAGAATGATCCTTTCCGTGATTAAGTCAGAGGACAGCGACAGTAAAGATCTATGAGATCAAAAGAACCCATTCTTTTGACACCATAGAGTTGAAGGCACAAGGGTGACCCTCAGGAAGATGTCTTAAGAAAATGTCTCCACTTTTTGCTTTTTAGGAATTATGACAAATATGATGTAGTTTTAATCAGCTTGATTTATAGAGTAAATGAATAGAGCACAGCACTAACTCTCTTGGGTAAACTGGTTTTCCTTTTTCATTAGCATCGTTATGACTGAACATTTATTGTGTTCCTAAAACGTGCAGGAACACACAGAATGCTGGTCCTACTCCGTCAGGGCCCAGTAAGGAAAAGACACACCAGTCTGGATTTTAACAAACAGGTGATTTAGGGGGCTGGCGATCCAAGTGATAGAAGAGCTGAGAAGCCAAACGGGGGAAAGTGAGGCAACCCAGGGATCCAACCCAGAGATCAGCCCAAGGGTAAGTAGCAGAAGCCAGAGTCACGGTGGGGACTGTCCAATGGGCGCTGGGACCAGAGAAGACAAAGTCACTGCTGGAGATGCCAAGGGAAATAGGGAGGCGGAAAGAAATACCTTGTTTCTCACCAACTCTTGCTCTCAAATTTTCCCCCACTGCACTACATGGGCCAAACTTAGTAGGAAGCAGAAGACAGGGGAGCCTGGGAAATGAGGTTCCTTGCCATCCAGAGATCACAACAAGAGCAGAAATTGGACCTCAGAGCAAACAAGCTGTTGCAGTCTACCTATCCTAGCACTGTATATGCTATGATAACTCGCAGGTCTAATACAGGGCAGGGAAAGATTAGAGATTCAGGAGACTGTAGTCCTGGCCAACTTTTTAAATGACTTGACCTCTGTGAGTCACATGTCAAATGCAGATGGGAGACAGAGAGCTGACCTCTATCCTGGGCCATAAACCTATCATTCTGATCCCAAGATTATAAATCTAAGAACAAAAGTAAATTTTCATAGAAGACCCAGAATCTCCCACCAATGAGTTCCCAACTCCCACCTTAGTCCCCTGGGGCCCTTGGTCAACTGAATTAATCTTAGTTAACCGTGCAGCCTCAGGCTGTTGAAGAACCTAATGAGGAAGACTACTAGGGTTGATTCCTCCCAGGTGGGGCTGCTAGTGGTGGGTGCATGATGGGAGGGGTGCTGTCGCAGCTCAAGTAATTAAGGTATGCCTACTTCTGAAAATTCTATTAAGTGTTTTGCTTTATCCCCAAATGCCCATCTTAGACAAGGATCTCAAGGAGGAAAAGTATCATCAGTGGAAACAGGGTGTATTCCCACTGGCCAAATGGCAGGTGTAACTCCTGCTTCCTCTGACAATGGCAGATACTGAGAATCGAGGCTGTCTTTCTCACTGAAGCAGAATGGATCCCCCAACTTTTCTCAGTTCAAGAGCTCTACTTCCAATCTAAGTAGCCACTTCTAAGTAGACTCGTGGAGTTAAACTATTTGTGAGACTTACAAGGAAGTTGCAGACGCTTGCCTAGAGAGATTTCCTAAGACTTTCTCTACCTCAGGCAAAAAGGGGAGCTGACCTCATATCATGGTCTTAAGTCCCAGTGATGTGGGGTACAAAGACAGAAGGAAATGTAGATAAAATTAAATGTCCTTATAACCTGCAGCCCATTGACAAATACTTGAGACAGGCAGAGAATGACATTCCTCCAGAAACTCCCAAGGGTCTTAATGTTAATGCTTTGCTAGAGGGAAAAGCAACCTTAGCTTGACAATAGCTAGGCCTCCAGGATCCTGTGAGTCTTCTCTAGCATATGAAAGTCCTTTTGGAAACTTCCCTTTGTCTTTAATTACCCCAACTCCAAGTATATAATCAGCCATTCCTCACTACCCAAGTGCAGCCCTTTCTGCCCAGGGTCTTGTTGTGCTGTATTTATTTTTTAAATTAATTTATTTATTTGAGGGTGGGGAGAGGGAGAGAAACTCAAGCAGACTCCACACTGAGCCCTGACGCAGGGCTTGATCCCATGACCCTGAAATCAGACCTGGGCTAAACCAAGAGTCGGACACTTAACCAACCGCGCCACCCAGATGCTCCCTGTACCCGTACTTTAATCAAACCACCTTTTTGCACCAAAGAGGTCTCCAGAATTCTTTCTTGGCCGTTGGCTCTGAACCCCAACATTTCCCCAATTGGTCAAGTCTGAAAGCACCTGTGCTCTCTTGCTGTTGTGCTCAGCACCTGGTTTCTGTAGGGTGACTCTGTTGTTACAGATCTTCCCCTTCCCTGCAGAGGGAATGAATCCTCCCTGAAAGACTGGCTTGCCAACAGGTTTGCTCTCCTTCTCCCTATATATAAAGTTGCATTCGGCCTGTGCCCTTAAGTATGTGGTCACCAAGGCTTCTCCCATCAGCCTCCACACCTCCACAATCAGATTTAAGATGAGATCATATCTGAGAAACACAGCAGAGGAAGAATCAGATGGACTTAGTGCGTTGCTGAAGGAGAGGGAGAAGGAAAGCCTCTCTGAAGCAGCTGGCCTCTAAGTTGGCCCCCAATGCCCCCTGCCTCCTGGTATTCATATCCTTATGGAGTACCCTCGCACATTGTACCAGGGTTGGTCTGTGTGACCAATAGGATATGGCAGAACAGCTGTCGCTTCTGAGAACAGAGAATTTAAAAATCTGTGCCTTTCATTTTAGGGGTTCTTCTGTCACTTGCTCTGGGGGGAATCCAGCTGCCATGTCAAGACAGTACTCAAATAGGCTACGGAGGGGCCCATGTGCTAGAAAGAGAGACCTCTGGCCCACAGTCAGTGAGGACCTGAGCCTGTCGACAACCACGCAAATGCATTTGGAAGAGAATCTTCCAGCTGCGGTCAAGCCTTGAGATGCCTGTGGCCCTGACAGATAGCTGACTGCAACCTTGTAGGAGATCCTGAGCCAGAACCACCCAGTTAAGCTGTTCCTGGATTCTTAACCCTCAGAAACCGTGTGAGATAATAAATGTTTGTTCTTTTAAGCTATTAAGTTTGGGGTGATTTGTATGCAGCAATAGATAACAATTTTCTCAGGTTTCTGGCTCAGGTGATAAGATGGATTGTGAAGCAATTAAATAGGAAAGTCAAGATGACAAGCAGGATCACAGGAAGGGACAAGGGAAAAGGAGAGTCCCTATTTAATTTGCGCATACAGGGCTTTGCACACCCTATGACAGAGGACATTGTATGGACACAGAGATCATTCTTTTCTAAAGTACAAAGAGTATAGTGTTCGGCAATGGGACTGAGTGTCTGAAACTGGACCGATCACAGAAAATTGAGGAATGATGGGTTTATGAACTGAGTATTGATGCTGCCCGCAGATTTGAGTCTGGGTACCACCCACAAATCAGGGAGTGTGTGTGGGAGGAAATCCTCCCATTGGCTAGATATTTAAAAAGCATGTTATCACCATCCTTTCCTCTCCCATTCTGGATTTTTTCCCCTCTGAGTGGTCTAGTTCTAGATATTCCGTTCTAGAGTTCTGTCCTGACCCCCCCTGGCATCCTCTCAAAGGCTCTTTCTACCAGACTGTCCCTGGGCACATGAATTCTCGCACCATGGGGATTAGTTACCTGGCCATGCCCCCAAGAAGTTCTCGCCTCCCAGCCCCCTACTGTCCTCACAATTCTCTTCTGCGACCTCCTCTTTACGCCGCTGGGCATCCTTGCTGCTAAAATCTATGTGTGTTCTTTCTTGCTTTCTGTAGAGGCTGGAGCAATGGAATGTAGAGCAAGGCAAAAGAGCCCAGAGTGACCACCTGGCTGAATACAAACGGGCCCATCAGGCCACCCACCTCAAAATATCCATAAGCCCTAACAAACCAATGGGCTACTTACAACCAGGCACAGGTATCAAAAAACGGAAAATTCCATACATCCCCATACCTCCTCACCTTCCCCCTTTAAGTCCAGCCCCACCCACCACTGGCAGACAGTCTCTCTTTTGCGGTCCTGCCTGCCGCCTCACCCTTGTAGTGTATTCAATAAACTTCTTGCTCCTTTGTTCTGCCTCCAGAGAATTCTGCACCACCTGTGCCGCCAGTCCCCACCCGATAGGGACGCCCCACATCTGGGGGCCCCCATCGGAATGGGAGAGACACCACACTTCCCTCTGGTCTCCAGAGCTGTAACTCTGAAAGTGTTAACAGCCCCATCTATAAATATAGCCACGCCTGATACAAGACTCAATCGTTTTCTCACTGGAATGTTTTCACAAATAGGAAAATAATCACCTAGGCAAAATTTCTTGAAAACGCAGATTATCTT